AGGAGAGCTCTTCTATTTGCAACTTGAAGGAGACGTCATTTTGTGATCCTGGAGGCGGGAGCAGCAGTTATCGCGAAACAGTGAAGGATCACGACTTTTCATGATCGAAGCAGGAGGCGGGAGCGGGAGCTGTTCACGGGAGGCTGGATCGTGATGTTTCGCGATTAGGGGAGCGAAAGGCGGGAGCGGGAAGCATATGCAAAAAATCCTATAGGGCTATAACACTAACAATCTCTCATTTAGAGACCGATATACATACAACAACATCTCCTTCCTCAAATTGATATCCTCCACTAGCGGTGTCGTTTTTTTATTCAAACATGAATCCTCCACCTCTGCAACTTAAAGCTTCCGTTTTCACTCTAGAAGAATAACTGAAGCTGTGCACAACTTTAGTTTCTCAAGAGTGGCACCCTCAGTCAATATATCAGCAGGGTCCAAATAGCCTTGCACCTCCAAGCTATTTCCTGGATTACTCTTGTCCTTGCTTACAACTTCCACTGCATGAGCAATATCGTGTCTTTGCTGAAAGCCTTTTCAACAAGTTTAGTCCTGTACCTCTTACTGCCATCAAGCTCAGTATTCACCTGGTACACTCACTTGTTGTGTAATGTCTTCTTCCCTGGTGAAAGTTCTGCCAGCTCTCACTTCCTCGAACTTTCATCTTGTAAGATTTCTTTATAACTCTGTGGTTATTCACCATCTGTCTGTGGAACAATAGACATTGGTGCCTCAGACCCACTCTCTTCTTCACTTTTACCATCAACAAAACTATGAACTGCAGCAATAATGCATCATGTACTTATTCAGATACCATATTTGCGCTATCATTCTCCATATTCATGAGATTCCTGCAGTTCCTCTTTATGTGGCCAGCCTTGCCACAATTCCAACAGGTTGTCTGCTGACCAGACTTTGATTTTGATCTTCCTTTATTTGAGCTCCTGTCCTGCCATCTCCATCTGAAATCAACATTCAATGTCGAACTCGCACCTGAGATCGCCAGAATCTTTTTTGCACAACTCCTAAGCCAAAATCAAATCACGAATATCATAACATTTTAGTTTAAATTTACCTGCAGAACTGCTAACTGTCATCCTCATGACTTCTCAACTATTTGACAACGATGCCAACAATATCAACACGCGTATCCCATCATTAAAATTAATTTCAACATACAACAATTGATTTGTGGTAGTATTGAAATCATTTAGGTGTTAAGCAACAGAAACACCTTCCACCATCTTGAAATTGAATAACTTTTTCATCAAGTACACCTTGTTATTCTCCTTTTCATACATACCTGACAGGGCTGTCATGAGATCTGCAGTCGTCCTCTCCTTGAAGACGTTGTGTGCAACAGACCTCGATAGGGTTAATCGAATAACCCCCAGAACTTGTCGATCCAACAAATTCCATTCGACCTCATCCATCCTTTCAGGTTTTTTTCCCAATAATGGAAGATGAAGTTTCTTCCCATAAAGGTAATCCTCTATCTGCATTCTCCAATAACCAAAATTTGTGCCATCAAATTTCTCGATCCCTGAAACCTTCACTTCATTTGCAGTCATCGTCTTCCTCAGATCCGAACAAAGCTCTGATACTAGTTGTTGTGGTATATATATAAATCAAACAGAAGAACGATCAACGACGAAGCAAAAAATATAACGAGAAAAAATTCACACCAGAAAAGAACACACAGATTTACGTGGTTTAGCAAATTGCCTACATCCACAGAGTTGCAGAAGATCTTACTACTTGAGGAATTTATACCAATCGATCACCTATACTTACAAGAGGAATCTCTCACTTCGTTGCTCTCTCTTCTTCTCTTTTTGTTCTTCTCTCTCTACACCGAGATACATTGAAGAAACTCTACACCGAGATACATCAAAGAAGATAAACTTACAAGAGAAATAAACTCAATTTCTCTTCAGTCAAAAACCACCAAGAATAAGCTAAGGGAGAACAATCTTCTTCTTCTTTCTTCTTCATATACCACAATGAACTACTTGTTGCACTTCTCTTTCTCTGTCCCGAGGAAACCCGAAGAAGAACATCAAAATTGTGACTTCTGAAAACCTTAGGGAGAGTTCTTCTGTTCACAACATAAATGAGACGAAAGACGACATTGTTTCGTGATCCTGGAGGCGGGAGCAGCGGTTATCACGAACAGTGAACGATCGCGACTTTTCGCAATCGAAGTGGGAGGCGGGAGCGGGAGGCTGGATCACAACGTTTCGCGATCGAGCGAGCGAAAGGCGGGAGTAGGAAGCATAGGCGAAAAATCCTATCGGGCTCCAACGCTAACTAAAATAATATTAATTTAAGGTAGTGTTGTAATAAAATGATAAATAGAATGGACAATTGTGAGAGAAATAATAAGAAATCATTTAATAAAGAATATAAAAATGTTATTTTTAAAATATTTTAAATACTTTTAAAGGTAAAATCTTCAAGTTTAATATATTTTGAGTATATTTTATATTAATATTATTTTTTAAATATGTCGCTCACAAGCTAATAAGTCAAGTCAGAGCTAACTTGAGCTTAGCTTGTTTGCTCATCGAACTCAGTCCACGAGCCACTTATCAAACATAGCTCATGCCGACTCACAACTAAAACCAAATTTTCGTCGAAAAACTGACGGAATGAGAGAATATTAGATTTAAACCAACAGATAATTTAAATTTCGCTTTTTCTATGTTCTGCTAGATATATGTTAAATTTTTGGCTGAATTGTGTTAAATTCATGCTACCAAACACATCTTTATAATAAATAAGTCGACTCGTGAACTGAATTGAATTCATAAATATAATCTCCAACTCAGATAAAACTAACCACATTCCATTCCTAATTCACTTTTTTTTTTTAATAAATTCATTCAATAGAAATATTATACTTGATTTGTTCCAATTGACCACATAACGAAATCGAAACGCAAACCTAACTGCTCCTCTCCCTCCTTAAACCCTAACAGTTTCTTCTCCAGTATCAGCCAAGAAGCTATGAAGCGTAAACCAGAACCAGAGGACACCTCCGGCGACGAAGAAAAATCCCAAAAGCCTTCAGGCGCGAAGGCTCTTACAGACAAGCGGAAGAAAATTAAGAGTATTGCTGACGCAGAGAATAGCTTTCGGGGAGGAGAAGCCGAAAGGCTCTCGGAATATAATGAAGAGGAAGAAGCGGAAGAACATTTGTCCGTCCTCGAACTCCGCGGCGACGGCGATGTCTGCCGTGCGCTTATGGAGCGCTATTCACGGTCCACCGCAAAGCAGCACCGACATCTCTGCGCCACCGCCGCCGCTATGC